TAAAAAGAGGTCTTGGAAACAAACCCGAGTATTTCCTGGATAACACCCACAAACATATTATTTTCTCTAAATCCTGCGTTCTGATGTGATGGAATGTGTTTGGATGAATGTGGATGGGGTGGGGAGTGGTTTGGATGTTGGAACATTGCTTGAACCTTGTGAACACCAAAAAGCAGAAAACAAAGCTTTTTTATCAATCAATCAATCAATGCTTGAAAATGCGTAAAACTTGCTGAGGTATATTCTTTGTTGTGCCAAAATGAAGTTGATTATTTTGGAGCTTTCTGCTTTTTTGCTGTTGAGCAGCATAATTTTTTTCAAGATGAAGGAAATGAAAGAGGAAGATAATATTTTTCATTGATAACAGAGAGAGAAACAAGAAAGGAAAATGAGCATGTTGTGATGACATTGGAGAATTTGTTACTAGATTTCATTGCCATTTGGATTTCCATGATTTTTATTCATCCATGCGTCATTAAAGCAAATCCTTTCATACATTTTGAAATCCTGTCTGTATTATAGTGAATGAATAAATGTACTGGCACATACTGAATGAACAGAAAGCTGTATTTTCTGCTTTCCAGCATTCATGAAGATCAATCAACATTCCCACATCCAACCCAAATGCATTCAAATGCATTCAATCACTTCAGAATGGGGACAACATAGAGGAAAGCTGCATATGGGTACCAAAAGAAAAGAAAATAAGTTCCATGCTTTACAACTGCCCAACTGATGTGTATGCATACATCCCCTTCTTATTTCCCTGACATTGAAAACAAAAGATCAGTAACAAGAATTGCAGCATAAGCCAAAATTATAGCAACTGCAGCAGTTGCTGAACCCAATTTAAAGCACAAGGTCTTCAGCACATACCGTATATGCAAATGTATTACCATTTCTTGAATGATGTAAATTTCTGACAATATGAAGTGACATCAATGAGTGTTGAAGATGTCTTTGAATTCCATCAGTGTCTTCAGGAAAAGTACCCTTGGTTCCTGAATGAAATGACTTCTGAGAAATGCGCGAAATTGGCAACCATCGCAGTGTCAAATGAACTTCACGAGGTTTGGATCACCAGACATCCTTTGCTGTTTGCAGTGTACGTCAAGCAATACCTTCCTGTGATCTCGGATTGGTGAGTATTTTTTTTCCTTCTCAGACAACCATGTCTATAAAATAAATATATACAAGGCAAATCAGCTGGAAAATTACTCGCAATAACTTTGAAAATTGAATGAAAAAAAGGTTAGATATACTTATATAACGTTGCGATATAAATTTCTGCGGTTTCTTGAATGTTGTGTTTTTTTTTCGCTGGCCAGTGGGTCGCAAGGTGTTCTTCAAAATAGACTTGAAACATGCTTCTGAAATTCTTTCAACTTGTGGGAATTCACTTCAGTTGTTTTCATCGCAATGCTCAAAGACGAGATAAACAAAAATGAAGTGGAAGAAATGACTGAAATTTAATTTTTCTCAACCAGAGACTCCGAATAGAGGAACGTTTCCTCTTCAAAATGGTACAACGTTTAGGAAAAGTATTATACAGTATTTATTTTTGGACTGGGCTGAAATTCTCAACTACTGTATATATGTTGAAATGATGCTTGTGGTTGGCTTTTTACTTTTCTGTATCTTAAATTTCTGTAATGCAGTTGAAGCCTCTCCAAGTCAAGAATTTCATAATGTAATTTTTTTGTAATAAAGTCCCTGTCTGAATTTTGTTGAAAAGCATGTACAGTGAGACCTTGAGATGCAAACGTACAGTAATTGGTGCATCAAGAGAGTCCCCAAGTTGACATATCCCTAAGTTGAGTCTTGTTTTCCCATAGACTTACATTATATAATTTTTCATTGGTGTTTTGTTCGAAGAAGTATTCTTCAGAATTCCCTTGAAAAAATTGTTTTCCACTTGACTTTGAATTAGTGAATACATTTTCAACTCAATAAGAACATTGTAATTTGGCCTGAAATGTATTTGCAATTTTATCACAAAATGTCTGTATGTCCAGTCAGTGTCCTCATGTTCGGTCTTATTTATTGATTTTTTTCTGGGAAAATAAGTGTCCCTATGTCAAATTGTCCACAGGTCAAGGCGTCCACATGTGGGGTCTCACTGTGGTAAAAATCTCGCTAACTTGAAGTATTTTCTTTCAAACCTTCATAACTCAAATTTCCTGCAGTGTTTTCTTTCCCACAATAATTTAGTTTGCAAAGGAAAGAGATGAACGCATTAAAAATGCAACTTTTTGTTGTTTTGTGAAAAGAAGTGAAACACTCATTTGTCAAATGAACCCTTGCCTTCAAGTTCAGCATTCTGTCAACTCACTTAATAGGCAATTCAAGGCGCTTGATTACAATTTCAGATTAAAATTTCCTGTAATTTTTCTTTCTCTCCCAGGACAGAAAAAAAAAGCTTTTTTCCCTGACTCAAAACCTCCCGAATTCGATTTTCTTTTTCTGATCCGTCTGACTGTATTTCATATTGTTGAAAGTCTTGAAGTGCTGATGGTTTATCTCAAAATTTGCACAGGACATATTTTAATTGCCATTTTTTGGCGCTGGGTCCATATAATTTTAAAAAATATATACCTTGACAAAATTGATAGAAGTTGTGTTGAACGAGGATGTGAAGTTCAAACTTTTCTAATATGCTTCATCCTTAACCGGAAGACTTAGATATAAAATAAAATTTCGTTATGAATTTCAATTGACACAAATTTTATTTATTTTTTTACAACCAGGCTCTGCATGACATTCGTGGAACCTTTCATGGAATATTGGATGCGGAAGACGATCCATCCAAAGGAGGATTGAATTCCTCGAGAATTTTTTTCTGGTCACTATATGCGGGTATATATTGTATATGATCTGAATATACATACATTATTTCAGTAGGAATAAAACAACAAAATTCCAAATCAGAAAAAAACGAATCAAATTGTCTATAATTTCTTTTCGTTTCCGCGACGAAATAAATCGAGGGTTTTCAGGGCTCGTGATCTTTCAATTTTTCCAAGGAAATTCGCTGAATAATGATGTTGAAATCCTTCATCGCTTTTATGATATTTTTCAGAATTCAACTTTCAAAAATAAGACTTTTCTGAAGAGGTGATGAAAATAAATGTTGCTGATTATTCCAGAAAAGCGAATTGAAATTTCTGAACTCGTCTAACTATGCAAGACGGCATTTTCGGGCATAGATCCGAATATTTTGAAGTTCTTGAAAAACGGATATCGTTTGTGAAATGGCCTTTCATCGACAGTTGAATCATCATACTTTGAGGACTTTTTTGACAATCTTTGTCCTTCGGAGAGATTTCTAGAAGGAATCTTTCGAAGTGAGGGAGACGAAAACAAATCCGAATGATGAGATCCATCGTAAGTGTTCCAATTTCTGTCATAATAATCCATTTGAATTGGTTCATTTCCATTATCATCATCATCATCCCTGATTGATCCTGTGTATCTATTGAAGTTTTTCGACTTTCCAGATAGTTCCTTATTGTCATCGTATCGTCTGCTGGAACTCGGTGATTTCTTGCGGATGGACGACCACTTGTTCTTGGGAGCAGACTTTCTCCGATCATCTCTCCAGTAAATTGAGTTTCGAAAACGGGATTTCGAAAATTTTTTGGTTGACGATGGATGAATCAAGGGTCTCGTCATTTTCCGTCGGTCATTTCGGTACCTTTTCCGTGATCCCGAGGAATATTCTCTCGTTGGGAATAAGAGTTCTTCGGTTTTCATTGTGGTGGTGGTGGGTTCTTGGAGTTCCTGTTGGGTTCCGGCATCTTCAGGGTGAATTTCATGATGAGGGTTCAGATCTTGGCTAATGGGGAACCCATGATCTTGAGTGTTTTTTATGCTGACTTGTGGTTCTGATGATGGGTCGTCTTGTTGGATTTGAAACGAGGGTCTCATTTCCCATGTGTCATCATCACCGAACCTTTTCCGAGATCCCGAGGAATATTCTCTTGTTGTGAAGGGTTCTTGGGTTTTCATTGTGACGGGTTCTAGGAATTCCTGTTGGGTTCCGGCATCTTCAGGGTGAATTTCATGACGAGGGTTCAGATCTTGGCTGATGGGGAACCCGTGATCTTGAGTGTTTTTTATGCTGACTTGTGGTTCTGATGATGATGGGTCGTCTTGTTGGATTTGAAACGAGGGTCTCATTTTCCGTGGGTCATCATCACCGAACCTTTTCCGAGATCCCGAGGAATATTCTCTTGTTGTGAAGGGTTCTTCGGTTTTCGTGGTGGTGATGGGTTCTAGGAATTCCTGTTGGGTTCCGGCATCTTGAGGGTGAATCCGATCTTGGCTGATCATGGGGAACTGCTGATGATCTTGAGTGTTTTCCATTATTCCAACTTGTGATTCTGGTACAACTGCTTCTTCTTGGATTGGCGAAGGTGTGTTATTTTCTGCCGGCGTTAATTCATTCATGGGATTATTCTGCTGTTGGTTGATGAGAAGGTCGTCATGATTATCATGAGTGCTGGGCTGATTGACGACGATCGGGTCTTGGAATTGATGGGGTTCAGCAGTGATGGGAATGGGTTCTTGAGTGTTGCTGGAGCTGATGGGTTCTGGAAAGTATTCGGGCGTTTTTATTTCCGGAAGTTGTGCCGTTAGTTCCGGTTCTGGAGGCAACAAGTTGGACACTGTGAGATTGGTGAGTTCCGTGCCCTGTTTCAGTTCGGCGAATTTCAACCGATTCATGAGTTGGTCGATTTCGTTGAATACTGACGATCCTACGACTCGGGCTTGATCTTGTTCGGCTGCTGTGGGTTCTTCTTCCTGAGGAACACTTGCAGCTTCACTGAGGGACTGTGCAATTGATCCCAGACCTGGATGGGGGGGGGGGGGGGGGGGGAAAAAAATAGGAGGGGGGGTGGGGGGGGGGGGGGGGTGGGGGGGGGGGGGGGGGGGGACAAATATGAATATTTCGTATTATATACATTAGCAGAGTGGCTTTATATGATTTCTCATCAATGATTCTCTGTAATTTGTTCATTCAACTGAACCTCATACAGAAACAAGCTGAAGACCTTGTTCTTTAAATTGATTTTTACATATTTTGTTACCAAAGTCAGGGAATGAATGCGTGTATGCATGCATGTCAGATGTCCATGCAGTTGTATTTCATGTTGTATTGTATTTTCTTTTATTTTTGTTAGCAATTCGTGCTTTCCTGCTCTGAAGTGATTAAAATGTCATTGCATGCTGGTTAAGGGTTGGGTGGGAAAGGGGGTTTGGGTGTTGAAATCTTGAGTGAACCTTGTGAACACTGAAAAGCAGCAGATGAAGTGTTTTGTTCATTCATTCATTAGCAGTGTTTCCCATATCAACCCGTTGACTGGCTTTGGTCCGCAGAATTTTTTTTTAGCCGGTCCACAGGAAATTTTCTGCTGCTTAATATGTCCACAAAAATACCAATGAAGTCTTAGTATTATTTTTTCTGAAATTTCCGATAGACAATGGCAGCAGAAATAGCTCATGAGAAAATGAAAGTTGAATTTCCTCCTCCTAACATTCAAGATAACATTTTCAACTGCTGAAAAGAATTACAGTGAGACCCCACATGTGGACACCTTGAAATTATGCAAACAATTTGACATAGGGTCATTTATTTTTCAATAAAAATGGGATAAAATAGGCCTGACATATAGACACTGACTCAGCATGTGAACATTGCTCAATAATATTGCCAATAAATTCAAGAAAAATGGTCTCTCATTATGCTTAATTGCAAGAAACAGATATTTCCAACCCTAAGATATATGCAAGAAATTTGCTTTGGCATTTCTCCAATTTTCCCCCATCCAATAAGCTAATTTAAAGAAAATTACCTCCAGCATAGAGGGACTTCCTTCTCTCATTGTGGCTTGAATGTAATATTTTGGATGGAAACACTTCAATGCATTGTACAGTACTGCAGTACAGTATTCAATGCTGCAGATGTTCTTATTGAGTTGGAAGATATTGAGTGAATCAATTTCAATTGGCAGACACCATTTTTTCATGGAATTCTGAGGAATACTTCTTCCATAAAACAGCAATTAAAAACTATATGATGTAAGTCCACGGGAAAACAAGACTTGACTTGGGGACATTTTGACTCAGGCAGGTATTCTACCCTATTTTCAAAATTCATTATTGTTTATAATGATGAATAAAAATTGGTTCACCAATTTAAAATTTAGACAGAGCAAAGGCTTGAAATTTCCACCTCAATCTGGTGAGAAAACATGTAAGATACACCTTGTGCTTGAAGTTCCATGTACATTGACAAATGGCCCTGATGAATTATGTCCAGTTTTACTGTGCTGATTGCACTTATTGAAGTGTTGTACTGTTATACTAGAGTTTTATCTATCTGGTCACATTGTACAGGACTTTACAACCATATTCAGATAATATATGGAGCTGTACCTGGAGGACTATGAAATTGATGAGGAAAATAATTTACTCTAGTCAGGGTATTGAATATAATGGCAAAAAAATTATAAGAGGGTTTCCTCCAGTTCTGTCAATTTGTCAGTGTGCTGCTGAAAATAGAATACCTGTATTGAATAACTCAGAAATTAAGACCCATCACTTTTATTTGTTTTGACAGAAGAAGCATACTGTTTGAACCAGTGCTTGTTACAACTTTGTGTAAAGATTCCTAAGAATGAAAGTAAAGTACAGTATATGTGATACTGTATATGCAACTCAAAATGCCAGTGGAAGAAAATTGTTTACAGCAATGCGCATTGAAGTGCAACATTTTGATTTTGAAGTGCATTATGTTTGGTGGTGATGGTGTATTTTTTTAGAAGAATTGTGCTGGACTTATTTTGGACAATTTGAAATTGGCAATATATACAGTATTGTTGACGAACCTCCAGCAGAAGGGCCACGATTCAGGACTTGGCCATTCAAAATCCCTCCAAGGTTTGATCCAGCTGGTGTCAACTCTCCCACAAAATTTGAAGGGGCTTCCAGGAAAAAATCACTTGTTTGAAATGACTGCTGCTGGGCGCGCCCCTTCACAATATTAGCAATAGACGCAAGTTTTTCCAAAACGTTGTTCGTCAAAACAGAGGAAGAAGGATTTTGATGGTGCCGCATAGGTGGATTATTCGGAGGCATCATCATCATACCCATCATACCCATCATACCCATATCCATCATTGCCGCTGTGCTTGGTGGTGTGGTGGACCAGAGCCATTTTGGGGCCTTGCAGCAAACGCATTTAGGAGTGGGACACGTGAAGCAGCCAGCTCTCTTTTTTCTCTTCATCATAAAGTCCTTGACTGAGGAATCTGTGGATTATGTTTATCTGCATTTAATTCACAGATGCTGGAATAAGTGGCATATATATGGAGTCAAACTCTTTAAATATAGATATATATGGAGCAATTGTCAATCAAAATATTATCTCAGCATGCTGGTAAAAAGACATACATTTTTATAAAAGTTTAAGAATCATATACATTCAGTGCAAGGTTCTAATGTTGGATGTACCCCTCATGTAAAAAATGTTGGCTTCCAATAGGTGCCTTAACTCAGTTGGATAATTACCTTTGCAGTCCTGTGAATATTAGATACAGTAAAATTGCTTTTTGATAAACTCAACAAAAATGTCAGTGTCAAAGCTTGGTGAATTCTGATCTGACATTACATTAATGTGAGCTGATCATTCCAGCTTTCATGGGATTGCTTTTCATTGGAAATATAATTTGATCATTATCTATTCAAACTTGTGTCATGTATATGGACTTTTTATTATGAGAACCTTGATAACAACTTTTGATTGATGTTTATGTTTAATCATGTTATGTTGTGTGAGTAATGAAGGGAGAAAAGTGTAAGAAAATTAAAAAAAAAATATATATATATGAAAATTAATTCAAATTCATATGGTATCTACAGTTTTCACTTTTTGAAATGTTATGCAATTTTTTATTCAGCTGAAATACTTCTTGAAATTCATCTATTTAAAATTAGCTTAGCAACCATATTATGGGATACATATTTTTAAATGTGACAAATACTGTTTAGGATCAGTTCAATTGAACTCACTTCAGATTCGCATAAATTTAATCGTATTCAAAAATGATTGGCTTCCAACATCAGTCTAAAATTTTCAAGTTACCATTAGGGCATTGAAATTCATGACTTTTTGCTCACCACCAACATCAGCCAATGGAAGGTCTTCTTCAGAGTCCAAGCTTCCCTCATCTAGGATTTCTACCACTTCTTTTCTCTCCTTCAAATTCAAAATCCCATTATCTGGATCACATTCCGATTTTTTCTCAAGAGAATCCTGATGCAGAGGTGGTATTTCTGCACATTTTGTCTGCATTTCTTCAATTTCATTTGATGACAAAGTGCATGTTACTATGGAAAATAGAAGCACAAATTTGAAAAGGAGTTCTGCACTGGTCATTCTTGAAATTCGAGTGATCCCCTGCAGTGTGAAATTTTGTCCTGACTCAAGCTCAGGAAAAGATTTGCCTAGCCTCCTCAGAGAGCATTATATGATCTAAAATTAAGAGAAGTGTGGAACAGTTTGTATTAAAAATTTAGAAAAAAAGTGGAGAACTTTGCCACCTTGAAGTTTACCTTCCCAAAGCACATCAAGGGCTTCTCAAGAAATTTACAACATATTTTGGCATAACACACTTCACTATCAAAATATTTTTCGAAATGCTAGTGCAAATTTCATACCTTTCTACTGTTTTTCTGAGGTTAATTGGGTGATAAATGGAGCATATGAAATTTTCATCATTGGATGAATTTCTTATACTGTATCAACATTCAAGCATGAATTTGACATTCAAATAGGTTTTAAATTAATATCAGTTTTTTCAGATTCTGTAATGGAATTTGAGTCTTATGTACAGTTTACCAAGGCTCTCAATTCTTAAATATGTATCAAATTCTATACGAATTGCTATATCATTATGTTCAACTTTGAATTTCAAATTATTCTACTATATAAGATCATCAATATGAACCTAAATCTACTCAAGGGAACTAAAATTAAGCAAATAGTTCTAATCCTAATTTTGAAAACTTTCATTTTTTAAACTGCTCATCTAAAGAATCTTCTGATAAGGAATAAGTTGAGTTTCTTCATACAACCACCTGGACAAAGAAAAAGGAATCGTTTCCATAGCTGGTCTTTTTTGAACATCATAAAAGTAATTTTGATTTGACCCAAGCACTTACTGTAATACATCCAAGTTATTTTGAAAAAGAACATATATATACCTGCTGATTTTCTTGAAAACTTTTTCCAAAATTTGCCACAATCAGAAAGATGATGATTCAGATTTCAGAACAAAACAGCTTTATTTTGCGTCATCTGTTTGTCAATCTTGTTTTATTTGCAAGGAAAATAGGTTCCATACCCCCTTAGTTTTAAAGGCCAATCAAAAAATAAGAAAAATAACAAAATTTAGCATTACTTTGAGAGTGTCATATGTTTGTTAGATGGGTTTGTACCCCTTACAAAAATACAAGACCTTACAAGTGCAGAATAATTTTGAAATTGTTGCTCTATGTACAAAGATTTCCAAAGTTGGTCATATTCATTTCAAGGTTCATCTGCATGAGATGATGCTGATGGATAGAACAGGAGAGAATCTGAATAGGATTCCAGGATAAGGTCCTCCATACCTTCATGTGTCCACAGAAAAAATTCATGAGCATGATAATTTAGTACAAAGCCTTGAGGGGCTGGAAATTGTATATATTTGTCAATGCTGTGTGACTATCAAAATGTATATTCAAGAAACAGCTGGAATACTTCAACTTTGAAATTTTATGAAGGGTTTCACAGTTTTCCTTGCTCATAATTGCAACATAGGTCAACACTGACCCTGCCAGAATCTCCATTATATTTTTGTTTGATTTCTCATCCATGATTCTCTCCAAATTGAACAATCAACTGAACCTTAACTGGCAGCAGGCTGAACACGTTGTGCTTCAATTTGGGTTCAGTAATTGTCATATGCTGTGCTTCTTATCACTGACATTTTGTTTTTTTTTTATCAGGGAAGGTAAGAAAATGAATGTTGTTGGCCTTTTTTAATATTAGTTGTCTTCATATCTAAACTCAAAAGGACTGTGCATCAGATTTAGTTTTTACAATACTTCATTATATATTGGTTACGCACATTCACAATACTGCAGATGTACACATCCACAGAACACTCAGCAATAAGACAAACTTCATGAAGTGAAGTTTGAATGAGAGATGTCAAGTGTAGATCACAAACACAACAAGTCCCAATTTAAAGGTAAATTACTAGTCTAGATTCATTTCTACCCACAGAACTTTCATTGGGGAACTCTGGGACAAATCACTGGACAAGAATTCTAGTGATCACAAAGAACCTTTGAATACTTGATCAGGAATGGAATGAATAAAATGAAGAATAAGGAGATGTACATTACATCAGCTTTTTTCCAGTGCCAATCTCTGCATACAGCCTAATCCTGCAATTCAAATTAGGAAGGAACAAGTTTATTCTTTTGACAGATAATCACCTGTCATGGGGATGGTATACATTTTGGTGACTAAACATTTCCATCAGACCACATAAGAGCAAGGATCAAGAAAGACAATTTCTTCCTATTGGATTTGAGAGACTTCTCTTCTCTGGTCATTTCCATATTTTGGGAGAAAATAAGCTAGGCTAAGAGCAGGGGATGACAGAGTTTTCTTCTGGGTGGAAACTATTGGAAACAAAACCAGCTTAGATTCATTAATCAAATGAGGCCTGAGTCAGAGTTTTTATGGGAAAAGAATGAATGATTCTTTTGCTGGATAATGCTGTATTTCCATCAGTTTTGCAATTGTACATTTTGGGATTCATTTTCTTTTATTTCATTGTCAATTAACAGCTTATTTCTTTGTTTTCCATTCTGATATGATGGAATGTGTTTGGGTGAATGAGAGTATAGGTGGGGGAGGGGGATTTGGATGCAATGGAAATGTTGCTTGAACTTTGTGAACACTAAAAATCAGGAAATAAAGCTTGCTGTTCAATTCAATTCATTAATCTCCATGTGTTGCAGCAGACTTCAATCACACAAAAAGCCAACTGTTTAAACACTTGAAAGAAAAAATAGAGTCTGAAAAGTGATTTTGACTCTGTCCATCATTGATCTTCTGATGCACAACAAACTGTGCCAGGAGTTCATAGCTGTTTCTGAACAGGAGCTCTTTTTTTCCAGCCTACTGATTCTAGAAACTTAATGAATCAATAACTAACAGGTTTTGCCCAAATGAAGGGAATCAAGAATTTCAGTTAAAATAATTCAGTTGGTTGCCTTTGTGTTGCTGTGGTTTTTTTTCCTTGAGTTCTTCAGGTACTCCAGTACTTTTTCCTTTTCAGTAGACATTTTTTTATATCATTGTAGGAGGTGTATGAACAGATTTCAATTTCTTATGCAGTGCTTTTTGGGTTTTATAGACTTTGTTTTGTGCCATTAGTTTGCATTCAAACAAGCCCAAGTTTCGGCCGCCATTCCGTCAGAGCCCAGTTGTGATATTTGACTGGAATCTGCTTTTCAGACGGTTGGGTAGATGTCGCTCCATACGTTGGAGTCGGTCCAGTACTGTTGCTGTTGTTGCTGGATTTGGTCGGGAAATGGTTTCGGGTTGCCAGTGTGTCCTGGGATTCGGAAAACTGGATGTCGGCAATTTTGTGATTCATGTACGGTATGGAAGGTTCAGATGCAGTTTTCAAGAGTTTTTCTGAAAGCCAAGCCTCTATTCTTGCAATCTTGCGCTTTAATAAAGGCCATCGCTCGGAATCGACTGAAGCTGCATCAAGTCTTCTTTGCAGGACATCCAGCAATTCTATGGAATACATTTCAGAGTTTTGCAGAATTTCTACTCTTCAATATTGCAAATATCTCTCAGAAAAAGACCCAATTTTGTATGGCAATGGTTCCTGAGCCAATATCATGGAGCTTGGCTGGAAAGTCATTTCTTTTTGCTGAACATTGTATTTTATTGTACAAATGAAATACAGAAAAAAGGATTTAAAAAACTTTTTTAAATAATTAATTCAAATCAACATGCTTCCCTTCATTATTGTTTAAATGTTGATGAAGTTGTGTTGCTGTACCTGATGTGGAAATATTTGAAAGTTCAGTTCTTATATTTCCAATCGTGCCATGGTTGTTCATTTTTTCCAATTCAGCTCCCTTCATTGCATCTCTCTTGATTAAGCGAAGCAGGAAATTGTCATCCATGATACCTATAAAATATTAAAAGAATCCATTCGTGAGTATTTTACTGAGGTCCAAAGGTGGCTGTGAAATTGTTGGAAAGCAGGAATGTAATTTGTTAATGGTAAAAATGATTGCTTCCAATTGCGTGTTCAATATTTTTGTGAAAATGTATCTTTATAGGCTAATTTGGAAACATCCCAGGAGTATCCAGTATCAAAGATTGACTCTATACTTTGTACAACAGCGTCTTCCTCCTTTTCCAGTGATTCCAATTCAAATACTTCACAAAGGGAACAACAGCTGCTAAGTTCCTGTCCACTTTGTCTATTTGGCAAGACTTTGAATGAAATTTGCAAGAAGAGCTGAAAAAACCACTGCCATTGTTTTGAGAAAATGAGCTTTTTTTTTTTTAGCTCCAGGATACAATTGGACTATGCTTAGTTAAATCTTTGTCAGTCAAGAATCTCATGGATTCAAATTACCAGTGAATCTGAAATCAAGTTGTTTGAGTCTAATGCCTTTTAAAAATCCTCCACTCAAATTATTTTGGCTCCAACCTTGCATTTAAGGGTAAACTATTATCTGGATGCTTTGCCCATCGGATTTGGCAACATTTTGCAGTTAAGATAATGATCAACAATTTTGATACCTAAGCCAGGGAATCATTTCTCTTTATCAAGTTAGCATCAGGAACATTGATACTTGGTACCAAAGCTGAATCTACAATAGACACATTTGCCTGTAAACTAAAGCTTCAATTACAGGGTGTTGGAATCAAGGAACTTTTCTTGGTGATTTAATGTGACTAAAAATGTGTTTAAGAGAGCTTCAACTTCAGGATAGATTATAAAAATTATTGGTAAGAAGGTGAAAAAGTAATTTGCATTCCCAAAATGTTTGTATAGAAAGTGTGGGTCTCAATATTATTTTTTCAAGTGCTGTAAAATCTTTTTGCAAAAAGTAATTGGTACTAATAAAAATAACTTCATTGTAGTAGAGCATATGTTATAAAATAACACATGCATTTAACATTGGGGTGATTGGACATGGACATAAACATGACTTTATTGTGGTGAGCAGTTTTTTTTAAACAAGATTTGTTGCAATGAGATTCTACTTTATGAAAGTCTAAACTCATTGGTACTAATGCTTAAATCATGAGTTATCATAGACAAAACATATTTTTCCAAATCACTCCTATAGTTTGCCAATTTGGATGAAAATAATGCTCACCTCTATTTGGCACATGCTGGATGGTTTTCCCTGAAAAGTCTATCATGTCTCCATCAACATCGTCTTCATAATCCTGTATTTCTGCATTATCTTCCACCAAATAAGGATCTTTTTTGTAGCCACACACAGACATTTCTGTGATTTTTACAATGATAACAACTATCACCGCATTTCTCAGCATTTTCTTTGTCCTTGCTGGAATATTTTGAGAATTGCGCAATTTTGAGAATGAACCAAATGCGAATGAACTTATGGTAGGAAGAAACATGGATGAGAATTCTTGTTGATCTTCATCTTCAGAGGGAGTCAATCAAACTTCTCTAATTTCCAATGAAACCTCTAATTGAAAAGTTCCGTTTTCCTCTCGCAAATATAGCTTCAGTTATTTATATAATTTTCCACTGATTTTAGGAAGAATGGGTTCAATTTATAATAAAATTTCAGAGAAAAGGCCCTTGTATGGAATGTCATTTGATTCAACCAATTTCTTTTGAAAGGTGGCACGTTGTTCCATTATTCTGTACTGTATAACTTCAATCGTAGCTTTGAAGTACAGTACCTTCACCCACATTTCAAAAATTTGAAGAGAAACTGAACAAAAAATATGTATTTTGTAATGGGATTTCCGGATTTCCACATAAATGTCAGGCCAGTATTGACAAAGAATTAGGAAAATGAATTGAAGTCACATTCAGCCTTTAACGGCCGGATCCTCCAAAAGGGAGTCCCTTAAAGTAGCACGCTTTAATAGCAGACCCACAGGCAACCGCAGAAGGAAATCTGCAAGACTTTCACACACACACTTGGGTCACGCCGCATGTACGCAACCCCACAATGAATGAACAATTTGTAAAATACTTCCTCAAATTAAATGCATTCCTGCTGTGATACTTTTTAAAATAATTTTCAGTCAAATGAAAACTGCTGCCTGCAAATTAGATTATGAGGCATAAAACTGCTCATGTACTGAAGAATTTGAAGTTTCTGACAATGATGCAATGATATACCTCCACATGTATATATAATTAGGATGTGTTATCCTACAACGAGTTCGACACTTTAGACTCAGCTCTTTTTATGGTTATGTCTTCCTCTTCTAGATAGGAATAATAGCACAAGAAGTTTCCCACAAAATTCTCTCTTCTTGTTTTGATTTGCCGACTTTTGCGCTGTCCCCCATTAATGCGCAAGACCTATTTTCTCTGAGAAATACTCCTATACCATTTTCCTGCTGACAGTGACAGATGTGAATTACCGTTTCCTGGAGCCTAGTTCCTCAATAATATACTTTGTGCTGGTTCCCGAGAACTCAGCATCTTAACATCAAAACCCGGATACGCTTTCTAGCTCTGAAACTATTTCATGTGCTAATTCCCCAAATGTATATATATTACTGGAATTCCTATTATTCCACAGAATACTTCCTGAGAGAATCGACTCGACAACTCTTGCGATTGTTGTTCTCAAGAAGACTTGCATTGTTTTAGCAAGACTTCTTTAACTTAGGTTATCTTGACTGTATTGCGTGTGTTGTACGTGTGTTGTGATTGTATCAAAACCAAAGAATATATTCAGTCATACATATTTTATATATATATATATTTGAAGTATATTTATTTTATTGCGACCAACCAAGTACTCAAGCAGTTAAGATAACAGATGTCTGAAAATATTTGTCAAACTGAAGTCATTTCCTTCATATCATATTTATATACTGCATTTATTTCAAGCAAAAAAAAATTCTACAAGCAAAGCAAGGTTGAATTCATCAAGAAGTGCAGGACCATGAAAAATGATGCCAGCAAATGAATCATCTGTCATTCAAAGTAGTTCTCACTGCAAGGAACTGTTTACCTTGCATTACACAAATGTTGCTGCAATTGGAACATTAAAAGTCCACTGCAGCTTATTGTGGAACATGTTTCTTTTCCAATTCAGTTGGATACAGGTGGTACCTTACAATTTGACTGCCTCAAAAGTTCATATGGTTGAATTTTTGGTGAGGTTGCTTTGCAGTTTGACATCTGAAATTCAATTTGACCCATAGAGATGCGCAAAAAGGTCATATAAAATGCAAATGTATTTCATTTTCTTTCAATATCCATATGAAGCTTATTTCTCTGTTTTCCATTCTGATGAGATGAAATGTGTTTGGATGAATGTGGGTGGGGAGGGGAGGGGGTTTTGATGTGGGAATGTTACTTCAACCTGGTGAGTGCTGAAAAGTGGAAAATAAAGCTTGCTGTTCAATTCAATTCAATGCAGGAAACATGACATTTGATATTGCTTTGCTATTTGACCACTTCATAATTCAACCCTAGTCCAGAAATGAATCAAGTTAAAATTCAGAAGCGCAACCTGTATCTGATATCCAGCCGTAGCACAATAACACTAATTTCAGAAGTTTATGTCATTTAATATGGTTTGCTTGCAGAAATCATTGATCATAATTTTTGAATAAAAACAAAGAGTTTCAATACAGTATAGTTGAATTTCAATTACTCAAATTTCCCTAAAAGAGAAAATAGCTTCCTATTTAGATATTTTCAATTCCCTTTTTGAATGCCTTTAAAATAAGTGATTTTAAAACTTCCATGACTCAAAGGCTTTCCCAGCCCTCAAATTTCCAAAGCTTGAATTTTCTCAAAGCATCTCAGCTAATATTTTATTGACAGACAAGGTAGAAAATCCTTGAAAATGTAAGGTGATGTGTTTTGATATGAGTGAAGCGTGAATAGGGAAAATGAATTCTTGTCTCCAATATCAGAGTCCTTTTAACTCATTTAAAAATCAATTTGATTCCTATGATATCCCCAATTATACCTTTTACTATATTTCTTTCTTTGCTGCCCCCTCACTTGTTTTTTCAACTCAAAACCTCCCTCACTCTGTTTTATTTTTTTCTTCTGTGAAGTTTGACAGGAACAGATTCAACTGTATATCATAGTTGAAGAGTTTCAGAAAAAAAGATATTCCTAATAAATTTCGGGCATCAGGAACTCGATTCTACATTCACCCAACATGGCAACTACATATTTGCCGAGTCAGCACCTGAACCTGATAATTTTTGCTGAGTAATTTCAATTTCAATATTCCTGAATTTTCAGTTACACAGAGATGAAAATACACTTTTCTCTCTGACATTTAGTCTCCAGACGACTTCATGACTGTTTCTAACATGGAAGAAAGTGTGAAAGAGGAAATTCAGTCATGTCTTTGTTACACCATCAGTGTAGTGATAACAAGTGTGCTTATTGCAATTGTGACATTCAAGATTCTGGTAGAATTCATCAAGTTTCTGTGGCCAAATCTGTCCTTTTTATTTCCACATCACCACCATGTCATCCTGGACACCAGGAACTTGGATCCTGTCCCACCAGTTCATGACAAGGAGAAAAGAGCTAAAATATTGAAGAATGGTACATTAATTTTCCCATTTTTTGGTGTTTTTTTAGCTCTTTGATTCTAATGATTGTGTTTTCCTTTAGATTTTTCTCGAGAAAAGATCCCCTCTGATCTGGATGCCATCTTGATTGGAAGTGGACTTGGATGTCTCAGTACTGCTGTGTTTCTGACCAGAGCAGGCAAAAAAGTGCTGGTTCTTGAACAAAATGCTCAGGTATTTGGCATTGCAGCTAATTTTATGCTATGTGAAGTTTTACAATATGTGTTTGTTTAATCATGAACTAAAATATTTTTCCTCTTGCGTTTCATTCACATTTGAAGTAAAAGCTAGGAAATGTTGACTAATTTTATTAGTTCAATGCTCTTAAAAATGGTACGGGTAATGCCGCATCCACTTAAAATTTAAGTTTGAATTTCCTGGCATTAACAGAAAACAGAACCAAATAAAAGAACTGCTGATGAAAGCACAGTAGAAAAAAACCTGGGCAATCTCCCAGTTTGAGGTCAAGAACACATATTCAATTTGATACCTATAGATAAGTATTCCCAATTTTTTCCTCAGAAAAATCTTTTGTATAATTTTATGGCAAAGATATATCTTCTGAAATTAGTGTTATTGTGCTACAGCTGGATATAAAATATACGCATCTCCCAAGGAATGCCGATACACAACACAAATATATAAAAACGAACTTGTAATAAACAAATCATAAGCCAAACGCAGATACGAAATAGGAAAATATGAAATAAATATAAAGGGAGTATAGTGATCTCACAATGAAATTTGCATGAAGACGGATTTTTAATCAAAATGCAAAATCAGAAAAGAGGAAAAATGTTCACTGGGTTTTCTTTCAAGTGAATTTTTCCACAACTGTTGAGAGAAAATTTTTTTTTTTGAAACTAAAATTACGCATCACCATGTTTCAGAACAATTTCATGCATGGAACATTATTGAAAATTGAATAATCAGTGCATTAACAGGAATTATTTTAAAATGTTCATGTTCAAAAATACTGTATATAGATTTCCTGACTGTTGAGTCATGAATTTATTTTGTTTGAGTGCTAATACAATGCTGCACCAGAGTTGAAAATTAAAGTTTTAATTTTGACAATTTTTTTATCGATTGAATTTGAGTGACTTCTTTGGAAATACCGCAATATTTATTTGAAAATAACTCCAAAGGTGTCTGGTCAAAGTTTTACATTTTTAATTTAAATTCCAGAGGACAAGGATGTCATATGTTTGAAATTCGCAAAAGGTAGATGCGAAGCCTGTCACAAGAGGTACGCCTTTTTTACGGGATTAATTTCAGGAACAACCAGATGTCGCTCCCTGCATCAGAAATGTCTGAGGAGCGTATATTTCTCGCATATTTTCATGCACAAGTGTTCAGTATTTTCTTTATTAGGCTGGAGGTTGTTTGGGAACCTTGAATTACAATGGCTACGACTTCAATCTTGGCTTGCACCTTGTCACCAAAGCTGCAGTGACACCAAACATCAGCTCAAGAGATATATTTGATCAACTCACAGCTGGTGCAGTTGAATTCCATGCCCTGGATGACAAATGTACAATGCTCGACACTGGTGCAGAAAATGGGCAATTGTATTCAGTCAATTGCAAAGACTTTGGCACATGGGGAAGACATCTCATGGAAACATTTCCCCAGGACAAGGAAGCCATTCAAAAATACGTTGATGCTTGTTGGAGGATTTTGTTTGGTGTGTTTCCTGTTCTGTTGGTCAAAGTGCTGCCATATAAGCTGGCAAAGTTTCTGATAAACTGGCAAGTCTTTGACTACGTCTCCAACTATCAGAAATGGAACCACACTTCTGTCAGACAGTTCATGGATGTAAGAACTTGCTCAAAAACTTAATGCCTTGCTTTGGGCTCTGTGCTGCATACATGCATTGAAATTAAATTTTCTTTGCAGAATTATACTGGCAATGAGGACCTCAAAAGAATGATCACATTACTTACTGGTTACTTCTTTCCTGACCCACAACCTATCAGCATGGCACTGCTTGCACCCACTCAAATAGTGTTTGCCAGTGGTAAGAATCATTATTTATTATCAGCAATCAGGTAGGTTATATGTGCAGGTAAATTTTTATTACAGTATGGAGCATTTTTCATTACAACAAATGTTTTGTAGGGTTACAAAAGAAATGCCTCATTATCAGTGTTTATAATCTTGATGAAACCAAGTTTCTAATTTTTTAGTGCAATAAGTTCATTTTATATACTGTAGTTAAATTTCAATTTGATGGGACTTCTGCTTTTCAATCCAAATCCTTGTTTCCATAAAATAAATAAAGATATGAAAACGGCGAGAAAAATAGAATGAAAAAAACGTTTTGCAGCCTGTAGGTTTGAATCATCTTCTTGAAGGAAATTTCCTGCTTCATTATATAGAACTTTTTAAAATTTTTTTGTTCAATTTTTTAATGCCTGAAAGCTTCATTTTGTCAGATGTTGTTCTCCTTCATCCAATTCTAAAAAACACATCAAATGAGTATATACAGTATGAAGTGTATAAACAAGTCTGAATGAAAAAAAAAGTTTTCTAAGGTTACCTCAGAAACAGTCCTGAGAATTTCCATAAGTTTTTAAAAAAGGTTGCACTGTTTTCAGTGGAATAAATTGATTCTCATTTTAGTATCTATTAGCTCTATTTAAATTTTCATTGAACTTCTGGTTTGAATCAATTTTTTGTTTTCATAAAATAAATAAGGAAAAGATAAATGCCTTTAAAATGGCAAAAATATTATGAAAAATTGAATGAATGCATGGATCTGACAATTCTGCTTGAGAAAACTTGCATTTTCACTATAGAAAACCTTGATGATTCTGATGCAATAATTTTTTAATACCAGTGCTGGAAGCTGTATTTTGTCAAACATTGTTTTGATTTTCCAAAAACAACAACAACAACAACAAAACTTTGGGAAAAGAGATAAACATATTGGTTCTAAAATATGCGTATTCTCAAGGAATCTCTTTACAGTAGCACAAAATGTTGCTTCGAATATGTTTCATTTGTGCTTCCCATAAACTTGTTTCAAAATATTTTAGCTATATACAGTATTTTGATTTCCAAGTATAGAGAATGTACCCAAGTGTGTAAAAATGAAAATTTTATTAAATATCCCCTTTTCTTTTTAGGATATGTGTACCCATATGGAGGGCCTGAAGAAATCCCATACCACGCCATTTCCCAAATTCAAAAAAGTGGAAGTCAAGTCCTGGTTAATGCCAGGGTTACTTCCATTCTTTTGGATGATGCACAAAAGACTGCCATTGGAGTAGTAGTGAAACCCAAGTCTGGCTGCCAAATTTCCATCAAGGCACCCCTGATAATCTCCAGCACTGGGGTGTGGAATACATACAAATCTCTTCTCCCCGAATCAGTGGTGCAAGCACATCCAATCATGAGGGACGCTTTGGCAAGTACAAGTCCACCAGCAGATTCCTCAGCCTTTTTTGTCTTCCTGGCAATTCATGGCACCACAGAGGAGATGAAGCTCCCACAGGCTGACTATTTCTTCATGAAAGGACCAGGGGACTATGAGGAAAGGTACAGAGAATATCTCAACACTCCCAGGGATGTCATTCTGGATGACACTGAGAGCCAGGAAAGATTTGAATGGACCTTCTTGGAGTTCCCCACTGTCAGGGACCCACATGCTAAAATCAAGTACCCAGGTTTGTCATTCCCAGCATTTATTTATAGCACATACAGTATAATCTTGTTATAACAAACTCTTAGAGACCTCCAAAAATCTTTTACAGGTGAACCTCAATAACTCAAACCTTCCTAAATAATCTTAATACCACCATGAGTCAAATTTTTTTAAGATCCCCATCTGAATCACCTTAGCCTTACAAACCATACATTAAAAACCTCCTTAAGGCAAAGGCTATCCCCCTCAAGCCCCTTTAAGTCAAATTTTCTGTGGCCTGTTGGCTTATATTTTCTTTATGCAAGAAAGAAAAAAGCAAAAGGCAGAAATGTATGCATTTCAAAAAGAAGCGAGAGACTTGATTGGAGAAATGATTCCCTGCCTAGAAGTTCTGTGCCTATTCCACTCATTTGAGAATAAAGTTAAGCCCCAGAATATCACCATTTACAATTTTGGGCAATTTTTGTAAGTTTTCCAGAACAAAAGAGCTTTGTATTGTAGCCCAACCATCTAAGATTTAAATCCTCCTCAAGGCAAATTTTTTGGATGGTCCCTTGCAATTAAACTTAGAGAGGCTCAACTGTATATAATGAATATTGTGTTATAACCAAATTTTCAAAGTTATTGACTGCTGGAACCTGTACATTGTTCCATATCAATTTGCATATATTCATGGTCTTGCTTTTCTGGCCTTTTCAGATGTCTTCCCATGTTTCAAAAAATCATTTAAAAATTAAACTGCCATTGGAAAAGACTTACTCTGAATAGCAGATGAATACAGTACTACCACTTTTTGAGAGTCTCAAGTTTTTCTCATGAATTCCTGAACATTTCCTTAATAAGGGTGGTTCCTTGGTTGTTCAAAAAAAAAGCTTACAGTTGTTCAGCATCACAACAGGGTTTCTCAAGCATCCAAACTCTAAAAGTGTCTTGTAACCATTTTAACATAATTTTGCTGGGTTCATTTTTTTCAATTTAACCCCCCTTTTTCTAGACCAGAAAGAATCTTTGAAAGAGAATATGTTCAGCTGAATTTTAAAACAATTTTATTCTTGTTTCCACTTTGGAATTGGAATAATTGTAAAGTTTGTTGTAAGCAGATTGTTTGAACATGTACTCTATTGGCTCTCTGTGGAGACTCGGGAAGAAGTATGCTTAGGATGTTGTTGTAATTGTATCCATTTAAACCAGATGATGTGTAATTAATACTTGTTTTTCATCCAGGCAAGTCCCTGTGCATTGCATTTGGCATGGTGGCTTGGAGCTGGTTTGCAGAGTGGGATACTCTTAGTGACTCTGAGCTGGATGCAGATGCAAAACATACTGAAATTGAAAATCGGTTTGGCGAACGCATTTACAGCTCTGTTTTGCAAAGGTTTCCTCAGCTCAAGGGCAGAGTAGACTACATCAAATACACTTCACCCTGTAGACTGGCAAAGCATTTGAATTCCCACTCAGGCAAGCTAATGGGACTGGATCTCAATACTCAGAGAATGTCTCTTGCAGCACAAGCAGCATTGAGACCAGAAACAGGATTAAAAGGTGGGACTTATAGTTTATTATTGACACATTTTTCAAAGACAAGATTGGTTGAATTTTCCCTGATAATTGGAAATCATCTTGACTAATATATGTTTTATCAATTTTAGGATTGTACATTACTGGACAAGATGTGGTAGCCTCTGGTACACAATTGGCAGCTTTGGGTGGAATGCTCACTGCATCAAAAATTCTGGGAAGGAATTTGGTGTTGGAGATGGAAATTCAGCAGCGATGTTCTACAGCTACTCACAAAAAGCACATCTGATGATGTTTTTTTTGCAAAGCTTTCTGAAAAATCACTGAAACTTTATTCAGTGAGCATTGAAGACTTATATGAAATACAAAAATGCTTTGAAACATCAATGATGGTCTCCAACAGTGCAATTGAGTGTTTCACTAATCCAATCAATCACAAATCTAAGTATAGGAAGGCATTTTCAATAATTTTAAAATTGAAATACAGTACCTTCAGATTCCTGCGAAGTTAATCTATACCTGCAAGTGAATTTTCACTCTGAGTACAGATTGCAGCATTTGATAAAATGAGAACAGATTACTTGTACAAATCATCTTCTAGCACCACCAAAATGCAACAGAAGTTTAAACGCATTCATTTTTCTTTGTGATGTCATTTTTTAAATCTGATACAGTATTTATATCCATCCACTCTATCCAAAGATCAGAATGGAGTGACCGTCAAAGAAGGACCATTAAAAGATCAGATTATTGATGTTAACACTTATGAGTTATATGTGACCTTGAGCATGTGACATGCTTAATGTTTACAAAATGTATGTAATTTTTGCAGTCATATGATCATGACTGCCATGAACTCACTCTTTAAAAAACACCTAACATGCATTTGCTCCAATAATGGACTGATTTGCCTTATTCTAGGTAGCAATAATGTAGAGAAAATGGATGCCCTTCTTTCTTTCTCTGTTTGTTCCAGCCAATATTCAATGACCAATCCAAACCAGGGTTTCACTCATCATGCTTGACCTCTTTTGGCCAAGTCTATGAGTACAAGCTCCCTACGTGTTTGATAAAAATCTTGCAAAGCACTTAAGCTCATTTTCTGATGGAACACAAAATTCACTTCCTTATTGTTGTGAATAAACTTGTGATCAAAAATTCGTGGGAGTTTGTTTCATTTTCCACATTTCTCAGGTTCTACTGAAAGTGAGCAGCAACTTTGTGTGGGTCTTGCCAAGACAACCTCATAACTGATGTCCCTGGTCCTCCGGTCAGAACAAACTTGACCTGATGACCACTTCCACAAGCATCCATTCAACTCAGGTGCATACTCCGTGACCTAGCTGAGGGCACCCAACTGTAAAATTTGGAGTTACTTGACCATTAGCTTACAATTGTTGGTAGCCACTCATTCTTGGCTCAACAATTAAATGAGGAGCAGCAACATTCATTTCCCCAGACTTAAACTCCCTGAAGTGTTTTCCTGAACTTTCAAAAACATGCAGAACATGCTAAAATCCTTGATTGAAATATTGTTCCTTGAGAAAGCTGGAAATCCACTAAGTAGATTCTCTGGTAAGCAATCAAATTTTTTGTTTCATGAAAAGCTACTCAAGACAACAAATTTCAGAAAATTGTATTTTAATGCTCTTTGAATAAGCTACTCTCATGAAAAAAATATTCACCAACTACAGATGACATCACATTCTCTAGCATCACTAAAATAAGAACAAAATATTTTTTAATATATTGGAAAAATACCAAGTGCATCCTATTTGAAGGTCCCTTTGAAGGTCACTCATCAACCTCATCAATACAGATGGTGTGGGGGACAGAGGTCGCCAGACTCGCAAAAGTACGAGATCCACGTTGGAATTCCAGCGGGGAATTCCAACGTGGACCAGTTTGGTTTAACCTCCATTTTCTTCCTTCTTTTTTCTGCACAGTCTCTGTTTACTTCGCGAACAGTAAGC